TGATAGAATCACCTCCATGATGAAATCTGCTATGAGCAGCCAATTAGTTGAAAGGGAGTTTCCTTGGGGGGTGTGACCTGCATCCAATATACGTGGACTTTCTGGCAAAGCTCACAGGCTTTTGCTTGCTCTGGAGCCTGCATCTGACCTCCGGTTCTTGGGACTAGAGTTAGCAGCTTACCTGGCATTCTTGGGATTCATCAGCCTCCACAGCCTGTGAGCCAGTGGCCTGCCATCTTACCTGCTGATCTTGGGATTAGTAGGCCCCCGTATCCTGTGAGCCAGAGGCTTGCTGTCTGACCAGCTGATCTTGGGTTCGTTAGCCCCTGCAGGTACGTGAGTCAGGAGAAGCCTCCAACCTGATCCAAGGACTTCAGACTTTCCAGCCTCTACAACTGTGTGAGCCATTTCCTTGATATAAATCTCTCCCTCCCCGCCTCTTTCTCTATATACATACACTTCACTGGTTTTGCTTCTCTAGAGAACCCAGCCTAAGACAAAGAAGTAACTGCAGATGTGGTGGAAATAGCAAGAGAGCTAGGATTAGAAGTGAAGTCTGAAGATATGACTGAATTTTTGCAATCTCTTGATAAAACTTTAATGGATGAGGAGTTGCTTCTTATGGATGAGCAAAGAAAGTGGTTTCTTGAGATGGAATCTACTCCTGGTGAAGATGCTGTGAACACTGTTGAAGTGACCACAAAGGATTTAAAATATTACATAAACTTATTTGATAAGACAACAGCAGGGTTTGAGAGGATTGACTCCAATTTTGAAAGAAGTTCTACTATGGGCAAAATGCTATCAAACAGCATCACATGCTATAGAGAACTCTTTCGTGAAAGGAAGAGTCAATCAATGCAGCAAAGTTCATTGTTGTCTTATTTTAAGAAATTGCCACAGTTACCCCAGCCTTCAGCAACTACCACCGTAATCAGTCAGCAACCATCAACATCGAGGCAAGACCCTCTACCAGGAAAAAGATTACGACTTGCTGTAGGCTCAGATGATAGCATTTTTTTAGCAATAAAGTATTTTTTAATTAAGGTATGTACATTTTTTTAGGCATAATGCTATTGCACATTTAATAGACTACAGTATAGTGTAAACGTAACTTTTATATGCACTAGGAAACCAAAAAATTGGTGTGACTCGCTTCATTGCAATATTCACTTTATTGTGGTAGTCTGGAACTGAACCCACAATATCTCCCAGCCCTGTCATTAGTATAATAATTAATATAAAGCACTAAGAACAATGCTTGTCACATAATAAGCACAATATAATGATTTGTTATTATTATTCCCTGATAAAAGTTCCTGCAGTTTTGATTCATTTTAATTTGAAATAAGAACAGTCTTCTTTAATATTAATAAACAACACACTTTATAATTTAAGTTGTACTTAATTATATTATCTTGATGAATGTGATAACAGTTTCAACTATTTCAAAATTACTTTTTAATGATTTTAAGCAAGCGGCAATATCACTGGTAATGATCATGATAGATCAGTTGAAAGTTTCTTATGAACTTTTGTGGGCTTTTCAAATTCACACTTTAGTCATGTGAATTCATTGTGTAGCAGTAATAAATGCAAACAAGTTGACAAGTGTATTTAGTCCCTAAGATCTTGTGCTTAGCCCAGTAACTACTATAATCAATAACTAAATGATGAACAATAATGAAGCATATTCCCTTCCTCTAAGATATAACTTAAGATCAGAAAACTATCATATTTGTAGAATATGTGTAGAAATCTAATATGATTTTACTGAAAATTGGTCTAAAAGCTAATTGAATTTTCTCAATTCAAGGAATTTTTCAAGTTTTCAATTCAAATCACTTTGCATGTAGCCTTTAGGGTAACATTGTCCATTAAATATTAATACATGATCCTACAAAAGCTTCCTTAGCCTTTTGGCTAAAAAGTGGTGAATAAAATAGGCTGTCTATACCAGGTTTGCCACTAATTGTGTGAGTTTCGGCAAATAGTTTAAACCTGGGGCAAAGCAATAACAAAAAGTAGACTAGTAATACCTGTCAGAGAGACTTTAGAACATTTTAAAGAATAATATAAATAAATTGATGGTGCTATTATTATTAAAACACTAATATTCTATACTATACCATAATATTAAATAAAGATTATCTTACAGATGACTAAAATAGTACATGCATATTGTTTTTGTTATTTTTACCTCTTTGAATTGAGTCAATTTTTTTTCTTTGGTACAATTTAAGCGTTGAATGTTACACACATTAAATGCAAAGAATCTATCCACAAGAAAAATTCCAGAAATAACTGCTTTCTGAATACATGTATACCTCTTTTAAAACAAACCTAATCTATGAAAATCAAGTATAGAGATAAGATAGTGAATGCATAATTATATATTTGAATGTATATATATGTAAACATATGTATCTATATATAAACCAAAAACCCGTTGCCATCGAGTCAATTCTGACTCATAGCAACCCTACAGGACACAGCAGAACTGCCCCATAGGGTTTCCAAAGAGCGGCCAATGGATTCAAACTGCCAGCCTTTTGGTTAGCAGCTGAGCTCTTAACCACTACACCACCAGGGCTCCATAAGGCATATACTACTTTAAAAATCTAAAGTTACATTGCTTATGTATGTGTATACATACATAATATTTAAAATCATGAAGATTATTTCCAGACAAGTCTTCAGTCTAAAAGTATTCTGCTCTGAAAAAAAGTGTGTGGTGGTTCCCAATCATATAAAAATCTTTAATATTGAAACTTCCTTTTATTTAGAAAGAAAAATAAATCTTGTAAGTCTTTTCTTTACAGGAAAATGATGTACAGGAGAAATAAAACACTGATCTGTCTTCGGACTACCTTAAAGTTGGTTTGATAAGTTTTTACTTCATTAAGCTCTATTAGTTACTCAGCTACACAACAAAATCACCTATAAACTCAATAACACAACAGTCACCTATATGGTAATCAGTGAACACAACAGGAAAGATTTTCATCAATGACCAAATCACAATGACAGTTAATTTGGTGTGTTAAAGTTTATTTTTAACTTATGTTTTGTTGCATTCTTTATTAAAAATGATGGGTTTTTTCTTTTTTTTTTCATGTGGAAAGAGGGTTTAGGTACTTTTAGGAACAGATGAATTTTCAGAGTCAGAAAGAATCGCGCTAATTTATCTAGGGACATATCACCACCTCTAGAAAAATAGCAGCTTACTGAAATTTATTATGAAGTCAGAAATTTATTACTAGTTAAGAGATCACCTATCGGAGGTTGTAACTTCTTTAAAGTTGCTTAACACTATTTTTTAAATTATTTCTTTTAGGACACTTAACTTTAGCTATTGCTCCCCAAAGTCCTGCCCTGACATTAGTGGCCACCTTGTTTCCTCTCTTGCCCATAGAATCAAATGATATAAAAGAATAATGTACAGCTTTGACTAAAAAAAGATAAACTGTGTTAAAGAATGCTGTACAGAACTCTGAATAAACAAAAGGTTATCTGAATTATATAAACAATATTTAGAAAATTAAAATTAGTTCTAATTTCTAATTATCTAAAAAATATAAATATTCTGCCAGAACAGGCATAAAACATTAGATGCACATATCAATATACAAAATTTTTAATGCAAATTTATTTAATACTTTGAACTGTCAGGAAAAAGTATTATAACTCAAATATCACTTTAGTAGGTTCTTAAGAGGCTATAATTCAAAGTAACCAAAAGCTCTGAAGTGATAAAAAAAACTAGCGTAAGTACATTGCATGTTTCAATCGTTTCTTTTTTTTTTTTTAGATTGCAAGTATCTGTTTGAAGAAATTTTAAAGTGGAATAAAATAAAACACATTTTATGTTGCCTTTGATCTTTAACTTGTAGCCTTATCTCCCAGGTCAAAGGGCACATTATTCAATTTCACTATATTTTGTGTAAAACCACTGTAGCATTGAAGATGACTTTCAGTACAAATGTCATGGTACTTAAAGCTAAACCGGAATCTAGTTTTTCAGCTTCTTAATTAAAATCACAGTTTATAATAGTCTGACAATATTATCTTTATTCTTTCCAGCTGAACAGCAACAGAATTTTTCACATCTTTTATTCAATCAAGCTTAGCAATCTTTCTATAGCTCTTTTATTTTCTAATACACCAAAACAATTGCAAGAAGCAAAGTACTTTATATTTTTGTATTTAATGTTATAAGGAGTGATCTCTTATTTCTTACTTCTCATATATATATATATATAAAAAATATTTAAACTTTACAGATAGTCTGCTCCAAAGAACAAAGACTGAAATAACATAAACCCACTCAAGAAGCCTTCTGAAGATTCAAGTGAACATGAAAGAATTTTGCTCAAACATATTTTGAAATATCTTTCTGAATCAATTAGGGCTAGAAGGGGAGAATCAAAATTAATATTCCATAAAATACTATGCTACTAAAATGCAAACATTAATTTTAATATACTACAGAAGAGGAAAGCACAACAAATATATATTTGTTGAATGATAAAGGATGAATATCATATACCAAGTGTAGTATTCAAATGTGATTTCATATTGACATTATTTCAATTTTTTCAGGCTACAGTAAAGAACTACATGTTTGCATAAACGCCTAGAAAAGATATCATTAAAACAAGAGGTGTTAGGGGTTTGTTGTTTGTTTGTTTTTGTTTCTAACATAAGGTCTCCATGAGTTGGAACTGACTCGGTGGCAACGGGTTTTTTTTTAAATCAATAATTTCGGAACTGCATAAAATTTCCTTTTTAAAATAATATATAAACCCTATGTAATCTGGAAAATTAGTAAAATTTATGAAATAATTCATTTAAGGTATATTTTAAATTATAAGGCAGGCCTTCAAATGTCCAATTTCAACTGTTTCTCCTTTTACTATGAATGTTAAATCTATATACACAAACATACTATGCACTTTATGTACTGATGCAGGGAAAAATGTATAATGTAATTTCCTTACCATTTCACTCAATTTCTTCTGTAAAGAATATTTAGAAACCTTGAAAAGCAAAAAGGAAAATCTCATTAAAATTATCTATTACAAATTCCTTCTGATACTAAAATTGCACATTATAAAATGTAACATTTATCTTCCATGCACCATTTTCTTCTAGTGATTTTTTTTCAGAATTTTATTTACAATAACTTTCTTCCTTATAACCAAAACAATACTTTCAGTTATTTAATCAACACATATTTATGGAACACCTACGCTAGACACTTTCCTAGGCTCTTGGGATACAACAGTGGTCAAAACAAAGTCCCTGTCCTTAAAAAGCTTTCTTTCTAGTAGAAGTGGGAGTAGACAAATTAAATATAAGTAAAAAGTATATTATGTTAGAGAGTGATAAATACCAAGGAGAAACATAAAGCAAGAGGGATAGGGAAAGCAGTCTAGGAGGAGCTGCAACTTTATTGTTTTAAAACAAATAAATCATCACACAACTCAGAGACAGGCTGTTAACACTTTGGTACTTCTAAATTTTTTTCTACGCATTTATACTTTAAAAGGGAGGCAGCAGGGAGGAAGAATGGTGGCATAGGGGTTAAGAGCTACAGCTGCTAAACAAAAGGTTGGCAGTTTGAATCCACCAGCTGCTCCTTGGAAACTGTATGGGGCAGTTCTACTCTGTCCTATAGGGTCACTATGAGTTGGAATCCACTCGATAGCAACAGGCTTTTTTATACTATTTTGTAGACTATTTTTACTTAGTATATAACATGTCTTTCTATGACAAATTAATCTACAATATAACTTTTTAATGACTACACAGTATTTCACTGTTTAACTTACCACAGTTTACCTAATTACTCTCATTTTGTAGATTAACTTAATTTTTAATTTTTCACTATTATGAACTATACTGAAACAAACATGCTTGTACCGAGACCTTGATGCATATCTATACTCATTCATTTTAGCAGGATAAATTTCAAGAAGGAGAATTCCTAAGATTTGTTCATTTTTATAGGTTTTCTTTAATTGTTTCATAGGCTTCCAGATTAGTTGACCAAGTTAACCTCCAACCAATGATGTATGAGTGCTCATTTTCTTACACCCTATTTATATTTGTTAAATTTTAAGTAAAAACATAATAGATGTTATTTCAAGTTTCCTAAAAAATAAAATTTCAGGCAGAAGGGGACAGGATAGCTGGTGATAGGGAACCCAAGGTTGAGTAAGAACAGTGTTGACATATGGTGGCGTTGTTAACCATTGTCATAGGACAACATGTGTACTAACTGTTTAATGTGAAACTATTTTGTTCTGCAAACCTTCATCTAAAGTGAGAATAGCAGCACAATGAACGTAATCAATGTCACTGAATTGTGCATGTAGAAATTTTTGAAACAGTGTATCTTTGGCTACGTATATTTTCACCAAAAAAAAAAAAAGGTCTAGAAGGGAGAGTGTTGACATGTCATGAGGTTGTTAACCCATGTCATAAAACAGTATGTGTACTGACTGTTTAATGAGAAGTTATTTGTTCTGTAAATCTTTACCTACAGTACAATTTAAAAAAATAATAAAAAAATAAAATTATAGCTTTACTGTCACAAATGAGCTGATAATTTTATTTCATTTTAGTGGAATGGGTTATGTGTGATTATTTCTTCAACAAATATTTACTGAGTGCTTACTATAAGTAAACCACTGGAGGAAAAAAAAATCCAGCCCAGTTTAAATTCTAGAAGAGACAGATAATAAGCAACATAACTTAAAATATATGGTACATTCAATATTGGTTAACTGCAAAGCAAATAATAAAACAGGGAAGGATAGTCAGGAAAGGCCTTTCTGAGATGGCGACTTTTGAGTAAAGACTTGATAGAAGTGAGGAATAATAATATTCAGCAAGTGCAAAGGCCCTAATGTGGGACAATGCCTGGTGTGTTCAAAAAATAGCAAGAAAGTCATATGGATGAAAGGAAGTGAGCAAGGAGAACAGCAGAAGATGAGTTCAGAAAGGGCTAAGGGCAAGGAAGGGGTTCAGATAATTGTAGGCCTTAAAATTCACGGTAAGGATTTAGGCTTTTATACTGAATGAGACGGAACACCACTGAAGAGTTTTGAGCACAAACGTGATATGGTCTTACTTTTTAAGGAATCACTTTGACTGTTATGTTAAGACTAAAGAGGAAAAGAGGTGAAAGCAGGAAACCCCTTAATAGCCTACATCAATAATCCAGATAAAAGAAGATGATGGCTTGGACTATGGTGTTAACAGAGGACATAGTGAGAAGTGATTAGATTATGGACATATTTTGAAGATAGAGCTAACAGAATTTGCAACTGGAAAAAGGGCTTTGTCATTACCTGAGATGGAAAAGACTAAAGAAGAAGCTAGTTTGCAGAAGGTGGGGATTTTAGGAATTTGGTTTTGAACATGTCGAGTTTGAGATGCTTTTTTAATATCCAAGTAGAGAAATCAAATAGTCAATCAGGTTGGATTAGGGCTGAAGGTATACATTTGGAAGTCACCAGCATGTAGCTTTCTTTAGGTCAGAGTATTTTTTAAGGCATACAGAACAAAAACAAAGTAAAAGGATAGAGGTCATCTAGAAAAATTAAGAGAAATAAATGGAAAGACAAAATTCAGAAGACAATCACTCCAATCCTGAACTTATTATCTACTACCATGAGTCAGAGATAAAACTAATACATCTAGAGCAAATTTATCAGATTATTTCAGGCTACCGTTCTTTAGCCATTACTACCTCTGCATTTATATTCTTTCTTGCCCAACCTATAAAACTACATGTGGCTGTATGGCTGCATTCCTACAACACATAAGATGAATTTGAAAGTAATATAATTAGATTGATGAGCAACTATGTCTTTTTCTAGATGCTACATTTAACTTTTTTTTTTTTATTCTAAAAAATCACATGAGAACTAGTGTTGTTTTTTTAATAATACCAGCTATAGGTATCTTTTAGGTACAGGAACAAAAATATATGGATGCTAATTTATGTATTAACTATAGAAGATAATTTCAAAGATAAACTACTAATGTTTTCGTATTATAGTTATCCGTCACTTTTTGGAAAATTTTAAGCAAGGCTGACTGTAAACACATTTCTATAGATCAAACTTTATTTTCTCATTAGTTTTCCATTAACTGGATTTATGTTACATGGGAATAAAGGAAGTCCTGGTTGCACAGTGGTTAAAGCGCTCAGCTGCCAACCAAAAGGTCAGCGTATCAAACCCACCAACTACTTCACAGGAGAAAGATGTGGCAGTCTGTTTCTCTAAAGATTTATAGCCTTGGAAACCCTATGGGGCAGTTCTCTGTCTTATAGGGTCGCTATGAGTCAGAATCGACTCGATGGCAGTGGGCTTGGTTTTGGTTTTGAGAATAAAATACCCCAAATATTATGTCAAAAACATTTAACCCTTTCCCCCCTTCTTGAACAATTCAGTCTTAAATCCACTGAGTAGGATAGAGCAAGTTAAGTGTCCGTGGAAGGGAGGGGTGCTGCAGCATTCTGGAATAGGGTGTCAGGCAGGAATGGGGAATGGAGGATGCCCCTACAGGAGGGGGAGCTACCTACTGTGGGAGTCAGAAGCTGAGTGGGATAAGGAGTGTGATCCTGCAAAAGGGCAAACCAGCTTGTGGTGTCGGAGCCCAAGCATCGTAAGGAGGGAATCCACATGAGGAAGAAGGTGGTAGCAGAAATGGTAGATTGGTTACATACAGGTGATTTATCAAATAAGTAAATATTTTAAACTAAACAAACCAAACCCACTGCAGTTTGCCCCCATAGGGTTTCCAAGGACCCCCCAAAGGGTTTCCAAGGAGCAGCTGGTAGATTCGAACTGCTGACCTTTTGGTTAGCAGCCAAGCTCTTAACCACTGTGCTACCAGGGCTCCTACAGTAAATATATTACGGATAATGAAAGTCAGATTTCTCACTGAAAGAGAAGAAAGGTATAAATACAAAAAGGAAATAAAGTAAAACGAATCTTGAATTGTCGAGTTGAAGGTAGTATGAATTCATGTTTTCCATATACACAGATTGATATAGAAAGAAACATAAATGTAAGCATGTGTATATATAAATATATACGTATATTCCCTAACTCTCCCCACTGAGAGGGTCTAGAAGCAGTGACACCGCAATAGTAATGACTGTACTAGCATCCAGATCTTGTCTTCTACAAACCATTTTCTACTAATAGGAACAAGGGCAACTTGGAGAAATGGTTGATTCCAGGTTCAGGTCATATAAAGTACAAAGTAATCCTGGCTTTTTTTTTTTTAACTTGAAAGCAAGGAAATTCTGAAAGATTGACGAAGGTGTGTCAAAAGGATTCAGAAACCAGCTTGAGTGGTCTCCCACTGGCCAGACCAAGGCCAATTTGAGCATCAAAATAATGATAGTCATGAATTTTAACCCACTGGATAAAATAAGAAACTGTGTGTCTATACTGATATAAATAAATGAATATATTAAGTTTGATGAGAAATGGGATATTTATACAGTTTCAATTACCTCCTCACAAAATATTTACTGATTACAAAGGGAAAAGAGTAACTTTATGGTGTAGAAACTCATCACAGATTACTTTAATCAAATGATGAAAGCAAACATCACCAATAATGAGACAAATTGAAATAACGAACTATCTTATTGGATTCAATAATAAGGAAACAGCATTACTTCTGTGATATTTCTGCCAAAGATGCATAAACTAAATCTAATCATAAGGAATCAACGTACAAACCCAAACTGACATTCTACAAAATAACTGGCCTGTAATTTTCAAGAGTATCTAAGTTATGAAAATCAAGGAGAGATTAAAAAGATATGACAACTAAACGTAATGTGGGATTCTCAGCTGGATCCTTTTGCTATAAAAGATCTTAGTAGGACAACTGGTGAAACTTGAATGGGGCCCAAGCATTAGACTGTAATTATGTATCAATATTAACTTCCTAATTCTGATGGTTATATTGTGGTTTTGTAGGAGAATACCCTTGTTGGTAGGAA